AAAAAAAAGTAGATAATCACAAGTGTAGTGGAGAAAATGGAACCCACCTACATTGCAGGTGGCAATGTAGAATGTTGCGTCTGCTGTGGAAACACTCTGGCAGTTCTTCAAAAGGTTAAATGTAGAGTTACCATAGGATGCAGCAATTCTAATCCTAAGAATATACCTGAGAGAAATAAAAACATACGTCCACACAAAAACCTGTACACAGATGTTTATGGCAGCATTATTCATAATAGCCAAAAAATGGAAACAACCCAAATGTCCATCAGCTGATGAATGGATAAATAAAATGTGGTATATCCACGTAATGTAATATTAATTGACAATGAAAAGGAATGAACTTTTCCTACATAGCACTGATACATACTATAAACTGGAGGAACCTTGAAAACATTATGTTAAGTGAAAAGAGCCAGTCACAAAAGGCCACATATTGTATAATTTCATTTACATAAAATATCCAGAATGGGCAAATCTAGAAAGATAGGAAAGAGACTAGTGATTGACCGGGGAATTCCCTGGCGGTCCAGTGGTTAGGACTCCGTGCTTTCACTGCCAGGGCCCGGGTTTCATCCCTGGTTGGGGAACTAAGATCCCGCAAACCACGCGGCGTGACCAAACAACAACAACAAAAAAGATTAGTGATTGACTAGGGGTGGGAGGTGGGGGGAAAATGGAAAGTGACTACTAGTGGGTGTGAAATTTCCCTTTGGGGTTGATGAAAATGAAAAATTGATTGTGATGATGGTTGCACAACCCTGTGAATACACTAAAGCCCATTGAATTGTATACTTTAAATGAGTGAATGATATTTCTATAAAGCTGTTAAAAAAGAAAATAAAAGTACACCACATGAGAATGTTTAAACAGTGGAAAGATATTACTTAATTTTTAAACGGTATTCCGCTTTACTCAAATGTGAAGAATGAGTGTTTTGCCAGGATTTCCGTTTTTTGATGTTGAAGTTGCCTTTTCTAGGATGGAGTCAGATCCTCTTTGTGTTCATCTGAGAGCACTCAGGGCTTGGTCCCAAGTTCTCTGCTTTGTTACTTTAGTGTGATTCTTTTTTTTTTTTTT